TTAGAAATTAGGAAAAGTTCACTTTAATAAATCATCCGTATAATAGTTTTTGTAATTTCCTTTCTCAAATTTTATTCACAAACACAATTTATTCCCTAAATTTCACTATTCAATAATCACTAGTCACGCTGAAGGACTGCCGCCACCACGTGCTGATCCGCCCCGATAACCATACATGCGGACAAACGACTATAGGGATGTTACAAACGTAGTTGGAGGCCCAGACTCGCTGGTCTCACCCTCAGGCTTGGAACGGACGTACTAGGTCCTTAAAAACCATACACCCTCAGCATCCGCATGACCATCCTTACTGTCACTTCACACCACGTATAGGTCTCTTATAGGTCTTCGCCGAGTAAATTTACCAAACATTCCTCCCGCCTTACAACGCACTGAAAAAAGCATTCGTTTAATTAAACCTAAAATAAATTTACACAGAGAAAAAACCCAACCAAAAGAACATACTTACAATAGTGAAATCTGAACAACAAAGCAAATACGCTTACCGACTAGTTAGATAGGGCAAACATAAAATATACCGGTCCAAAGAAGCCTTCCTTATTCCAATAGCTACCAGTTTAACAGCTCATAAAATTGTATTATTTGCTACACCCAAAGAACGTATAGGACAAGTACAAACGTGGCATCCGGCTGGTGTTATTACCGCTCCCTATTCTGTCCACTCTGGGCTAACAAGTCACTTTTATACTCACGCCTCACACTAAAAATAACTTACACACTTCACCCGTCCATGGTAACCCACTACCCTCAAACATAGTCAATAAAAAAATAATAAACCGAAACTAAACACCCATGCATTCACACAAAAACCAAACAATAATCGAATCAACTTTATAACGCAAACATACATGTATTTACATACATGGGTTTCAGCTTAATATTGATTTACACAAAAAAACATAATAATATGTTCTACGGTGCGAAGTTATTTACTATCAAAAATATTTACATTGCTTTTACTTGCACTGCCTATCCTCAGTTTATAAAAAAAGAAAAGAATAAAAAGAAATCACTTCCCAGGCATTCGAGATTCGTTAGTCTATTGGGCTCGCTACGGTAGCGCCTCGCTGCGCTCGCTATAAAATCAGAGGAACACACATTCAATAATATATATTTCTTATGTATTGCAAATGTTTTGTAATATTTGCAAGAAGTAATTATTGTATCAACCAAATCGTCCTGACTTTTTAATAAAAGTTTGTACTGTAAAAAATAGGCATTCATTTTCAAAATCATTTAACGTTTGATCTCCCCAGAGTAAAGCGTGATTTTCGACAGCCTGTAATTTACCCATTCGCAAAAATTTGTCAAAAAACCTCTTTTTCTAGGTTCTGTATATTTTTATATAAAAAGAAATAATGATGAATAGTAAATTACAGTAAATTATAAGAAATAGTTTCCTCCCTCAGGGAACCATAAATTTCCCTCGTATCCATTCCATATCTGTTTTATTGTATCAAAACAATCATGGCGAAATCTTTAATTTTTAAAGCAGTTTTTTTAACATAAAAAATTAATAAAACACTGTAGAGGCATGATTACAAATGCATGCGGTTTAAAAGATCATTGTGTGATAACGAATGCATCATGTCCGAGAACAATAAAATTATTTTTATAAAGTAGTTTCACTAGCATTTCGAAGAATTACCGTTGTCTTCATTTTACTAGAATTTGAGTATGATTGTGATATCACATGCCGTATTGTTTTTGATGTCATACTTACATTGTTAATAACATTGCGTCACAGACTCGAGATTCCTTGAACGCTCCGCCCACTGAACACTATGATTGGTTAAAATTATTAATAAAAAAATTATGAGAGAAAAGTCCTTTGGAATAGCCCGATTTTCGAGGAAGTAGTCTTCAGATGAGGGAAATAGTCTTTTCTCGGGGAAATATACAGTTTTATGGTGTTATTTTCATATTGAGTAATTATAGTGGAGGTACAATAACATAGTATCAAATAATGATATTAAACCTCTACTGATTTTTTCCTGGTGAATGGACCGTGCGTTAGTTAAATGAGCTAATCCCTGCATCGGAAACTAATTCCCGGTTATTCGTAATCCTCTAGGTTTAACTTTTGTACCTGTCTACTATGTTAATGGACTAATTCCCCGTGCGCTGCGCCTCTGGAAATAGTCCTGGTCTTGGGAAACTGGAATCTTGCTTACTCCTTCAATGACATACTTTAACTGTTTACTAATCTATATACACTTAACACTTGGAAAGTATCTCAAAAAGGTAAAAGGTACAAATAATTATGTCAAGTAGATAGACAGATGCAATACTTTTGATGATTAGTATTGTTAAAAATTTGGAAGAAATATTTACCTGGTAAAATGTCGACAAGGACTAAATAGGTATCGTCAGATCATAGATAAAGCACACAAAACCGGTCTTGTAGAGTAAGTTTTCCCTCTAAATCCCCCTTCGGGAAAACGGATTCTAATAGTAGGATTTCCCCGGGAAAATAAGCTCTAGAGTAATATTTTTCACAAAGGAAAACGACTTCAGAGTAGGAAATCCCAAATCAGAATCAATTTTTCGGGGTAGGGGGCATTCTCTGAGTTATGGGTATAGAGTGGAATTCCCTCAGAGCTAAATTTCCCCTATAAAATATCATTGCTGTATTATGTTTGAAGGGGGGAGGGGCAAACATTGTTACAATTTAAAGTGATAATTATTTTTAAAACAGGAGGAGGAATTCGAAACAATGATCCATTGATCTTAGGTCATGTTACAGAAGACTCGTTAAATATGGGCTCCGACTTCTTGGTAAGTCAATTATGACTAATTCATTTACCAGAACATATGCTGAAAAAAAAGTAACGCAAGGTAAATCTTTGAGTTGAAATAATTTTGATTTTTCTAATGCATTTTCCAGTAATCTCATCTAACATTTAAAAGTATCTTTAATAAAATGTAATCAAAATCGCATTTGATTTTGCTTGATAATTCATGAGTTATGGAAACTCATATGATGATATCCCCAAAAAAGTTTGAAAATTCTCAATATCTTCAATGTCTCCCTCGGATTTTATCTCCTTCAAAAGGGACTGCTATTCAACCCTTTAATCAAGGCAGTCATTAGTGGAATATACCATCTTTGGCATTTCGAGCCCCATCATCCACTTAGAATCACATACATGTATGTTAAGGAAGAAAAAAAAATGGACTTTGCGGAGTGGGTAACCGTGACTGTTTGCAAGAAAGTTTTGTCAAAACCTAGCTGCATTGGGCTACTCCGAAAATTGTTTAGAGCGTCTGCTCTAGAGTCGCGAAGTATGGAATTAATCCTTACGTCACGGGTTCGAATCCCACTGTGGATATGGAAACCGGTCCTTCGGATGAAACCATATAAACCAAGGTCCCGTGTCACAGTAGGTGTTGGAAAGAAAAAGATCTCTCACTTTTCAATTCCGAGTGCCGAGTATATGTATATATTCCCAGCCCTCCACCGGCAATGGTGGTGTCTCCATACGAGTGACAATTCTCGAGAGGGACGTTAAGTAATATCGATGTGTCTGTTTGGGCTGCTCTGATTTGTATGGTTTCAAGGAACTTTTGAGCTTATATACTGTTCATCATCTCCATATTTCCATAACAATCATTGTTCAAAAGATAGCTCGAGAAATTTCATATAATCGGAAATGCACCACTTCAATGTGCTTCATTGTACTCCCCTGTAGTATTGCCCCATTTCCAATTAAAACTTGCTAAACAAGTTGACTTGGAAAGGTATGATTCGAACACAAGACTTCATGGAGCAATTAAGCGCTCTCCTTACTTAGCTATTGTGATATTTTAGTGACATGGAGACTTTATGCTTTAGACTGGCATTTTCCTGTCAGTGATTAGTGTATTCAGTTAATCATTTCATTTGATTTCATTTCATTTGCCTACATAATTGTAAAGATTATCTTATATCGCCTGCAGAGCAGAATAAGACTTGGGGATCACTATACCTGACGACTGGCTGTCTGTCTCTTTTCGTCTGCTACACCTATTTTCTCGAGAACTATAAGAAGTATTTGTCTGATATTTTAAACCAAGTATTGCTTGGAACTATTGCTTTTACGCACATATTGTATGGCTACCAACATTTGACGATTGAATTTGGCATTTAATTTACTTTTCAATACCGGTATTATTTAAATTGACTAAAGTTTATGGTATATCTTTATATTAAATAGGTAGGTACATGTATATATATGTCCAATGTTTCATATATAAAACATTACAGAAAATATCAGCATTGCGGTCCACTCGACTTGACCTTTGACCTTCTTTGCACAAAAATCTCCGGATGATTTAATTTAACGCATGTCTTTTTAATTTTGAGAGGCAGTGTTTTGATTACTAGAATTAACTCATGTCTATGATTTCATGACACTGTACTCTGAACTTTGAAAGTACTTTGAACTTAACAAAAAATAATTTTTAATATACTTTGAAAACACATTAGGATCAGTTATCTACTTGGGATAAGACGTATCAGAAGATAAGTGCAGCTAAGATAGATTGAAATATCATGTCGAGGATTATTGTAAACACGAATTAATTAATGATGAATAATTAATCCTTATAATTCTAATTTCATGATTCGTTTTAAGATTGGAAAACCAAATTTCTCTTTGTTTTGACAGTCTTACACTATCCCTGAATTTTTTTTACTTTAAAGGGATATCCGTGAATTATACTGAAACTAGGAAAAAACTAGCTGACTACTCTTTGATTTATTTTTATCTTTAATGAAACTATAAAGCAGGTGTTCACTGCAACACTCCAATTTTAAAGTAAAAAGGGCAGTTTGACATTTATTCTTTTTTAAAATTTTTCAAAAGGACTTTTCGGATGACATATCGAAACAGATGTCTCATATAGATATTTCTTCAGAGAAGCGGGGCACGGACAACCAGCTACCTAGGGAGGGAGCCAAAGCTAAAATATACCCCCTTGTTATAGAGATGTCGGAATGTGAATTCCATTCCTTCAAGTATTTTGGAGAAAAAGATGACCTCCCAGAATACAAAACAGTTGTACATTTACTAGAATATAAAGATGGGGCACTTCAGGCAGGTTGTCCAAATGATGATAATTTGGTAACAGCACTAAAGAATCATTATGATAAGATAAGAACATTAAATATGGATTTTTATGCAGTTCCCGGGTCAGAAAAAAACAAAATACCCTCCACTGTGAGGGAAATTCAGAAGGAATTCCCAGAGGCATTTTTCTATGGTGAAGAGTCAAAGATTAATATTACATGTAATGACTACTCTCAGTTGCAATTGCTGAAAAATATGTTAAGAATTAAGTTGGAAGGTGGACAAACAAACAGGCGAAATCGAAGATTTCAATCAAGTGAAGATACGGATGGAAATACTGAAGGAAAACCAGAAGATGTGCTCAAACAAAGTGGACGAAGAAATAGGCGCTTTGAAAGCAATGAGACTGAATCAGATATGACTTCTTCATTGTACATGTCTAGTGATGCACTTGAAGTGAAAGTGAAGGATGGATTTACTGTTAAAGTATATCAGGGCAGTATTACTAAACTCAGAGTTGATTGTATTGTCAATGCTGCTAATAATCAGCTTATGCATGGAGGTGGAGTAGCATATGCAATAGCAGAGGCAGCAGGATATGAATTCGATAGAGAGAGTGCGGAGTACATCAGACAGCATGGTCCAATACCCGTAGGGAAGTGTTGTGTGACATCTGCCGGCAAACTCCACTACAAGTGTGTAATTCATACAGTAGGACCTAGATGGCATGACTATAACAATGATGAAAAGAAATACTGTTTTAATGACTTGCAAGAAGCTGTCGAAGTTACATTCAGAGAAGCAGATAGATTGAAAATGACATCAATTGCAATTCCAGCCATTAGTTCAGGTAATTAATAAATTAAGTTTAAGATTATTGGGTATGATATTGTAGTTTCATGATCATGAAAAAAGAAACAATCCCTTTCATGTACATAGTTATTAGAATCACTGAAAACAAAATTGTACAGAATATACAGAGAAAATACCGTAAAGCAACTTTTATTCACGTGCGAAAAATATTCACGAGTTTTGCGAATAACTTTAACTCGCAAATCAATATGCCATTTATCTTTCTTTGCTTTTGTAGAGAATATTTCCTCAGTCAGGAAAATTAATCGTCGCGAATTGATTTCAAACTGAAAAATCGCAATAAAAGATAACGAGAATGATAATTAGTTAACATTTACCTTATTATTACAATAAGATGTGTTTTTGATGAGAGACACTGATGCCCTCATATGGCAGCAAGTGACGAATTTTGCAGTTTCTCAAATCCAAATCAATTTGCAAGGTCAAGTAATAAATATATATTATTATAACAGTAACTTGATCCTAAGGGTCGTATCACGTTGAGTTGACAGGTGCGGATCATCAGATCAAACGAGACGCTAAGCGTCGAGTTTGATCTGATGATCCGCACCTGTCAAGCGTCTCGTTTGATCTGATGATCCGCACCTGTCAACTCGACGTGATACGACCCTTCGGATCAAGTTACTGATATTAGTGATAAATTTATTATATACCCCCTTATAACTGGCTAAATATATTAAAATAAACCTTTAGATATAAATTGGATAATATCAATCCATTAAAGAAGGCATAATAACAAGGCACTTTTTAACGCGTAAGAAAAATAACGTCATATTTCTGCGTACTACGTCATCAGTTTCAGAGAGTGGTGACATGGATTCGGAAAACCACAGTGATGATCCGGAAAGTCAGATCACGACCTCACGTGATTTCATCAAATCAACAGTAAAATTGAGTGATACACATTAGGTATATAATAAAAAAAAATGTACTCAAACAAAAGACTCAATCGATATACCTGTGAAATATGAAAGCTCGAGCACTAACTACCCAAAAAAGTTGTGGCCAAAGATTTAGTTTATTTTTTCATACCAATTGTTAGTCCATTATTTATACACTGAATTGACGACGGATTTTTTCCGTTATTTCCTGATCATGACAACGAGCGCACGGCGGGTGTGACCGGTCGGCAGGGGATGCTCACTCCTCCATGGCACCTGGTCCCACCTCTGATGTTTCGGAGGTCCGTGTTTGCTCTGCTCTTATTTTGTATATTGTTTAATAGAAGTTGAGATTGAATACTGTTCGTTATCTCCATATCCTTCTTTATTATATAACTAATAAATAGTCTCTAATGAAATACTACCAAAAATCTAGAGAATTTTAACGTTCAATATCTTGACGTTTTATTGAACGCTAACTTTGTATTACGAATATGAGTATGCCCGAAACATTCCGAATACGAGCGTTCAATATCGAACGCCCCGTTGTAAACAAAAAAAGTCGTCTGGTCAAATTCTCAGTAAAGAAAGGAAGTGGCATCTAGGTAAGATGTGTTTATTTTTCACACAAAAATGAAATTATTTATTAAAATATAGTACGTATAAGACCCATTAAAACCTAAGTAAAGAAATCATATCACTCGGTAGAGTCATCGGAATGATGCGATATTGAACGCTAACAGGACCGACGTTAATTTGAATACCGATACTAAAAAATCATTAATTTGAGGGTTTTTTTTAGTTGGAATAATTATTATAAATCATGTTGAAATGTTGTAGCTATATAATAAAGGAGTTATTGAACTTATATTGGTGAATATTTACATTCAGTGTAATTTTCCTTATGAAATCTATTAGAAATCCACGACGTTCAAATTTCTATAACACACGCGAAACCTTGTCACCGCGCGTTAGAATACACAGTAGGAACTACATGCATTTTTAAATACTCTAGGAACACCAAACTGTAAAACGTTTTATTTCAATTTAATGAAAAACTATAACCCTGAAAAATTAACGTAAAAATTAACGTAATGTGCATTAAGAATTAATTTGTCACTTTTTTTCCTCGCAATGTCTGTTTACGTTATTTAACTTTGAAACGTCGTTTAATGTCATTTGACGTCACAAACGGCTCTTACATCTATTAACCTCGGCAGTTTTGAAGGTCATTAAATTCACATTTAAGATTAACGAAATAAGAAATTATGAAAAAGGAAAATAAGAGAATGTAAATATAAGCATTGAATTCATATTTTTGGATGTCTTCGGTCCTATAACACACCTGGCCGTGCCGACAAATTGAATACCGCGCTTTAGCTGGCTGTTCAAATGCACTCGCAAGCTCGTGCATTTGAACAGCCAACTCGTGCCAATATTCACCAATATAAGTTCAATAACCCTATAATATTAAATTATTTTATTATTTCTATCTGTTGATAAAATAGGTAATTTTTTTTTGTGGCTCAATTGGATCATACTGGAAGGTCAATGTAGAATATGTTGGTACCCAACGAAAGATCATGTCTCAGGAAATTCACATTTGAAACATGAAATCCTAGCTTCTAGATTTTACAGAAGTTTCAACATAGTTTGAATTTTTTTAAAAATACCTTATCAAATGACGATTTCATATGAATTACATCAGATATATGGAAATCGGAGAACTCTATTCAAGGTGGCTCTAGTGAAGTGAAAAAACTGAGATTATTTTGTACAATTTGTAACAAAATATATCTTGACACTTTCATAGTTCTTGATAGAATTTTCAAAGTTTACATAAATTTCCTTTTTTATATTTAGAAGGTATATTTGGATTACCAAGAGACAAGTGCATCGAATGTTATTACCAAGCAGTAGTAGCTTTCCTTTCATCTAACAAGCCGATTTACCTTAAGGAAATACATTTTGTGGATAGAGATCTTACCATAATTGACAACATCAAAGCAGTATTTTCTCAGACGAGGAACTATTCACCTAAAACAGAAGACACACAAAGCCCTTATTATAGTACACACTCTCAACAAAAGCAAGAAAACTTCGATGTACCCAGATCTACTTCAATTTACAGACGTTCTAGCAATGAAAGTGAAGACTGTGTGGTTTTCCAAATACGACACTCCTTCTCAATTCAGCTTTTTATTGGAAATATAGTTAATACTGAAGCAGAAGCAGTTGTGTGTCCCCAGGATAAAAAATGTAGCTCCAAAGGAAGAGTTGCTAGTGCATTAATGGAAGCTATAAATGATAGTACAGCTTATCCCCCTAAAAAAGAAAAGGAGCGCCGGATTGGAGATATTTTTGTAGCGGAATGCAAGTCAAATTCTGCAAGATGGAAATACATGTTCCACACTGTGGTGCCAAGATGGGATATGGAATCTGCAACAAATAATCGACAATATATGAAGTCTCTTGAGAAAACTTACAGAAATATTTTTAAAGCAGCAGAAAGAGAACAGATTTCGAGCATTGCAATTGCTATGCCCATTTTGGGAGCCGGTAAGTTAATTTTTCTTGACAATTGATGTCAATATTATTCAGATTTTAGAAATAATATAAAATTCTTCTACAGCATGCATAAATATACTTTAATGCTTTATTTCAGGTGTTGGAGGTGACTATGAAGCGCCACTGGAAATGTGTTCCAAAATCTTTGCTACAACAGTAAAATCATTTTCAGATGAAAATGATTCCTTATCTTTACAAGAAATTAAACTTGTATTTCAAAGTAATGCTGAGAGATTTGCATACACAGATGCATTAAAGAAAGTCTTGCACAGTGATAATTTTGAAATGATCAATCTTAAAGGACCGAGTCATATTGAGCAAAGTTCAAGTTCAGAAAAAAACTTCTGCTGCATATGCATGGATACTCCGAGCAATCCAAAAGCTTTGAAATGTGGCCATATCTTCTGCAAAGACTGCATTGATCAGCAATTCGAGTACAAACCAGCCTGCCCAAGCTGTGGTAAGGTATTTGGAAAGATGACAGGGGACCAGCCACCTGGTACTGTGTCTCTAAGAAAAGAATGGAGAAGTCTTCCTGGTTATGAAGACTGTAGCGAGTGCATCATCATCACTTATACTATAAGAGGGGGTCTTCAAGGGGTAAGTCATGATTTTGACTTATAAAGATCTTTCAGAGTAAGATGTTTTTTTTTCATTTACAAAGTACATGAAGTATGGGAATATTTCCTTATCACATTTTAAAAATTGTAAATCAATTGGGGGGGGGGGGGGGGGGGGCAATGTTTTTGTATTCTTTGTATTTGTATTCTTATCTGCATTTATAATTGATCAATATTTTTATATCTTCACTTATTTATTAAAATGGTTTGTAGCCTTCATATGTCAGCTGCATAATCTCAACAACATCGTGTCAATGAAATAGTGTTTATGATGGTGCCGACTATCACATAATCAGTGACGTTGGAAATAAAATTGAAGATATTGATAGCCGCTTACTGTAAATCACTTTTTATTCGCGAGAACTTTATTTTCGCGTAATTACGCTAGACAGTGTGCTCGCGTAAATTTATTTCTCGCGTATTGTAGTATTCCTTAAGATTATATAGAGCAATAACCACAATGCGTGAAAATTTTGTCTCGCTAATCAAGAGTCAATGACTATCTCGCGAAAATAAGGTGTCGCGAAAATTTAGTGATCTACAGTATTATTGAAAAAATATATATCTGATCACTTCTAAGTTGTAAAGGTATTTACCTTGTGAAAAAGAAATTATTATGCAACATTAAATAGGGTATTACTTTAAAGGAATCACTGTCTAGTTAGCAGACTATGCCAGGGCATCAACGATGGTCGGAAACATGGGATAAATTGCGTAAGAGGCGAAGACCTTTACGCTAAAATTATCCCATGTTTCTCACTATCGTTGATGTCTTTTGCATAGTCTCCCAACTAGACAGTGATTCCTTATATTTTCATTTTTACTTGGAATAACAGTTTTTAAATAAATCAAAATACCGTCTAATTTAGTAGATTTGCAATCTACGAGGCATTCCTTGTTATTTTCCGTTGCCCGGCCCATGACGTCAAATTTTACTATTAAAAATAGTCCATTGAAATACGAAAACAAGGATGATGTGACATAACTGCTACCATTTGGGGGCCCCTTTTCCGCGACGGATTATATTTATCTCCACAAAAGCGAATAAATACCATGTCTTTTGAATAGTTTCAATAGTTCCGATATATTTTATTTATAAGGAATACTGCATTATCTATGAATTTTTAGACCCTATCACGACAACATTCGCCCTAATTTGACAAAATGTATTTTATTAAAGAGAATGGGCAGATCTTAGTACAATAGAGGATATGTATGTCCGAGGAGTCTACCTAATATTGCAATGTTATTATTTCGAACATAGTCGCTAACCGAAAAAAATTGTCCAATCCGATGACAGAATGACAAAACATGCTGGAAGCAGATGCGGCTGCGGCAATATAGTGAAAATAGGCTTGATTCACATGAAATTTTGAGATTATCCCTGCGCCATCTTTAGGGCTCATTGTGTAAGTTGTACATGTTTTATTCCTAAAAGCTTCAAATTTCTCAAGGGACTACATCATACTATAATTACATGTAGAGGGAATTTAAAATTTTTCAATGCACATTTTAAAAGCAGCTCAATATTAAGTAAACCGTCAGTCAAACGTTTTGATTGCAAAAAAAAACTATCCTCTGCCACCTTGTGGCTGTGCCAATTTCTCGAGATGATTCAGATGGGTTGTTTACGGAAGTGGAGTTCTCGGCCTCGCGAAGCCTCGGTGATAATGGACAGCGTTGCACTAGCAACTTGCTTTTTATCCGAAGATAATTCATCATTTTTTTATTAGTAAAAAGATATATCATATCTTATTACTTAGTAAATAATTAAACAAAACATCTGTTTTTTCTTCAGTGTTTTTATACGCCTTACATATACATACAGGTTGACATTTGGCCTTTCGGATGCATTTCACTAGAGAAATATACATACCACAGGTATTACCAAGAAATTAACAAGATAAGACTTTTGCAGTGTTTATCATAGAGAAAACAATTGGAAATGGAAATATACTAGAATCAATGTAATGCTGTTGAAAATCAAAGATGGACATCTGGGTAATGTAAAAATCACGTCTAAAATTATTTTAATCACATGGTGAGAATTTGTGTTATCCCCTCCCCAATATACCATAAAGTCAAAGTGGGAGTTCATTGTAAACTTGGCCAATCAACACAGTTCCAGGCCAAGTGGATTTATTTAAAGCCTCTGAATCAAATATTTATTTGACAACAACTATTACCAGATTACTAGATGAATGCAGTGGACATTCCTAGCTTGTTGACTATTTTACTGACAAAAGTTTACTAATTTTGAAAACCTATCATTCTTTATATTTTTCATGCAGTTGTTTTTTCTTTAGTCTTCTACCTGGGAATACACAAGAAAACCAGTCTTCCGGAGGGGAGGGGGTCATTACCAGGGATATCTTACTACAGTATAAGACCTAGTTTGGTTTAGAAAAGAACAGAGTTTCAGATTATTTTAAAAACTATTCAGTGTCACCCTTAATATTTTTTCTTTCAATCACAGGAGGACCATCCTAATCCCAATCGGTATTTTAAAGGGATAACTCGCTCTGGTTACCTTCCAAACAATACAAAGGGAAGGCAGGTGGTCAAGCTTCTGAATATTGCTTTTTCGAGAAAACTGGTGTTTACCATTGGAAGATCCCGTACCACTGGAGAAGAGGGGGTGGTGACTTGGAATGATATTAGCCACAAGACAAGACCAGACGGAGGTCCGCAAAAGTAAGTCAAGAGGCATCCATTTTTCTTAATTCAAACTTAAACAGTGATTTTCTGACATCAGTGTTTATGTACACAATTTTCTTTTAAACCTCATCTTTATCATTGTTTTTTATCAGTTATAACTGTGAAAAATGATTTCAAGTTTAAGAATGTGTTATTATGAGAAGAATTACAGTGTAAGTTTTTGTGGCAGGTTTGGGTACCCAGATGACACCTACCTTGACCGAGTCCTTGCGGAGCTTGCAGTAAAAGGCGTCACACCAGAGTCAGCGGATGATCCAGAGGAATACCGAGAATATTCCAGAGGTTTCTACTAGAAGGATTGGCGTATTGTCTTAAAACAATGGAATGGTACAATACTGGTGCATTTAAAATGTTATTTGCAATGTTTCTTTAAATATAAAAAAAATGTGGATTAGATCGTTTGCTGAACATTTATGAATTATTTAGTATGTTACATGTAGTAAATGAGTTAAAATTTTATAAATGAAAGATGTGCAATGTTTATGACCATTGTATATCACCAGCTTTTTTTCTGAATAATTTTAGTTATTCTTAAAAAAGACAACAACTGTCTTTTTTCATCCTCAATCATGTCACAGCTGAGGTAATGATTTCACTTTCAATTTATCTCCATGAAATACAAAGATATTAGTATATAATAGCTTCATATAATACTTGTGTGATTGTAAAAATGCCTGCAAATAATAAGAAATACATTATTTTTGTTTACAATTGAGTATACATTTGATGAACGAATCAAGGGAGGGAAACTGCATACAATACCTTAAGAGCTTGCTAACATGATAACATAGTAAAATTTCAGAAAATGTTATTGTGAATATAAAAGAATTTTTTGTATCAGTTTCGATGAATGTCAGTATGTTTTCTTAACCTTAATTGTTCATTCTTTGAGTTGTCAATTCTATGATTTTATTTTTTCAATGAGTTTTTTTCCTTTGAGGGGCGTTTTAGACACATAGAAACACATAAATTATTGATTTGAAATCTCTGTTTGCGCTATTAAGTCTTATTTTGTGCTAGCAAATTGGACTTAAAAGTAACTTAGAAGCATTGCAAATATAGTTATACTTATGCCCATCAATGGAAACACAGACACAATGGGTATAAACAAGTGCAACAAATATTAGTAACCTTCACCAATGGAAAGGTCGCATCTTTTATTAATTGGAAATTGTACATATAAAGCAATGTTAAACAGACAGTGCAAATTCCTTTTCATCCAAAAGGACATTGACATGAAACAGAGGAGTGACCTGGGTTTTAGAACTATCGTTGTACGAGGGGTTATCAAAAAGTTCGTGGACTGAGGCTATAAAATTAGCACTATGTATTCTGTGCTTTCAAAATTTATAAGGGACATAAAGCAACAAAAAATAAAGAAATGTTGAAAATTTGAGCTTGATTCGTTCATTTTTTGCTAAAATATGACAAAATAAAAAAGACATTATATGGTTAACCGGCGCCGTCGCCGTTTAGTTTCATGACGTCCCATAACGTCATTGTTTTTCAATGTCCGCTTCTTCTACTTCATACACTTAATTTGATGAGATTCCCTGGAGTTGAGTAAGGACTTAAACCCGTCTTGTTTTTATGACTTTACAATGTCAGGAACAGCGGCTTTAAATGCATATAATATTGCAAATGGATTGATACATTGGGAGAGATCCTCGCTCGATTGTGCCAGCATATTTTGCTTTTGGGAGTTTAATATCTACAACATATGATCAACGTCATTTTTTGACGTGAATGATTTTTCACACCTTGACTAGAAATCGACATTAACTGTGCATCCCTTTTCTCTCAGAACCTCTTTTACATTAAAAAAAACAAGCACTCTGGATGCATTAATTTTCTCCATAGCCAGTTTAAACATTTCCTAGGTCTATACCACTTTTTTCAGGGCCAAAACTTTATAGAATGTTGGAAAGTGAAACCCCTCCCCCTTTTGACGTCATTTTCAAGGACTTATTTGTTTAGACACTCCATGTCAAATTAACGATAAATTTTCATAGAACTTTCAGAATGAATTGAAACCTTCATATTTTATGAAGCAATAGTGTCCCAACATATACCTTAATTAATCAGATTTTTTGATGTCAAATGTTCATATCAAAAGAGTTTTTCTTAGTTATGCTTCGGTCGAAAAAATGCCATATTGGAGGTTGCGCCGCTTGGACATACCATAGCTTACAAAAACATTATTAATTTATTTAAAAATAAAATTTATGATCTGCGGTTTATTCTATAGATAGAAAAGATGATGCTAACCAGATATTTTAAAATTCATTGATGTACCTAAAGCGGTTTTAATTTTATGGCGACAGTCCACGAACTTTTTGATAACCCCTCGTATATAACACAACTCTTGGGTGCACGAGAGACTAAGAAATTTTAGTTTAAGATATATGCAAGACAAGTGCAGGAAATCTTTGGTTTTAATTAAAACAAAGATTTTGAGGGAACAACATGAAGCCACTTACGCCTGTTCCCCTATGGTCATGTTCATCCTACTAAAAAAAGGAGGTGGAGCATATGTAAAACAAAATACTAGTACATGTTTAAAAACATTGTTGAGAAAACAGAGCTCCAATTCATAATGTTTTAACAGTCTTACTTTTTCTTCATGCTACTTGTAATTTTGAATTAAAAGAATTTTGTTAAGATTTTAAAGTGAAACAAGCATATTTAAATATATATTAAATCAAAAATATTTGATAATGAATATAGAAAAACAATTTTTATACATGGTACAAAGCATTTTAACATTAAAAAGAATTTGACCTAATAAATTCAAAATGGATTAGTTGTGCTTGTTTAAACTATAAATTCATAGTGTACACAATATTAATATTTAATTTCTATTTTTTACATGCACTACCTTGTTTTCTAAATTACATGTACTTATAAAATTTACATATATTTTTTTCAAGTTTGTGTTTTAAGTGGCATAAAGGCCCAATGGGCCGGATGTTAATTGTTATTATGTTCCCCAAACGAAGTTGGGGAACATATTGTTTTTACTCTGTTTCTTATTATTATTATTAGGTCTTTCCACCTTTCTGTGGAAAGACCTATTGATTTCCTTCTGTTTCTTTTTTTCCTTTTTCTTATTAGGTCTTTCCACTTTTCTGTGGAAAGACCTATTGATATTGTTCTGTTTTTTATTAGGTCTTTCCACCTTTCTGTGGAAAGACCTCTTGAAATGCTTATGTTTATTATTATTATTATTATTATTAGGTCTTTCCACCTTTCTGTGGAAAGACCTATTGATTTTCTTCTGTTTCTTTTTTTTATTATTTTTTATTATTTTTCCGCCGTGTGATTTTGAGTTTCAAGATTTATCGAAAAGATTTTTAGTCCATAAGAATGTACTTCATTAAAGATTTTCGCAGTTGACCCTGCGTATATGAACTTTGATCCCTTTCGGAGTTATTACCCCTTTCGCAAGAAAGCTTGTTATCGCTACTCCTCCGAAACCATAAACCGTAGAGAAATGAAACCTTCACTATTGTCTTCAACTAATTTAGTAGACATTCCAATGATTTATTGCGAAAGTATTCATTGACCCGTTCAAAGAGTTATTGCCCCTGAAACTTTTTGAATTTTACAAATAATTAAAAATTTTCAAAACCAGAGGTCGTAGAGATATGAGACCAACTGCATAAGATTCATTGACCTTTGACCTTAAAATTCATTTAAAGGTCAAAGGTCAAGGTCATTCCAAAAACGAGTAAAATAGCTCTTTTTATATCTCTTTTGTCTTTCATCATATAGTTAATGTGTATGCATCATTAATATGAACTTTTAAAACTATTTCAAAGATTTCATTCTTGTCCCTTAACATTAAACCTTTTTAAAGTTATAGCCCCTTTTGCGAAAAACCTTGTTATCGCTACTCCTCCGAAACCATGAACCGTAGAGAAATGAAACCTTCTCTAATGTCTTCAACTAATTTAGTAGACACTCCAATGATTCATTGCAAAAGTATTCGTTGACCCCTTCAATGAGTTATTGCCCCTGGAAGTAATTGAATTTTACATATAATTAAAAATTTTCAAAACAAGAAGTCGTAGAGACATGGGACCAACTGCATAAGATTCATTTACCTTTGACCTTAAAATTCATGTAAAGGTCAAAGGTCAAGGTCATTCCAAAAATGAGAAAATCTCTTTTTGTATCTTTTTTGTCTTTCATTATATATTTAGTGTCTATGCATCATTAATATGTACTCTTAAAACTGTTTCAAAGATTTCATTCTTGTCCCCTAAGATTAAACCTTTTAAAAGTTATTGCCCCTTGTGCGAAAAACCTTGTTATCGCTACACCTCCAAAACTGTAGACCGTAGAGACACCAAACCTTCACTAATGTCTTAAGGGTCTTAAGGCATAACTTCACTATATAAGTGGAAAAGGATCTGATGAACCCTTATATGAGTTATTGCCCTTTAACGTCTTTGTACTTCCTATTTAACCTCATAACTTGAAAACTATAAGTCATAGAAGCATGGGGTCAATTGCATTGTGACCTTTGACCTTTGACCTTGAAAATTTTTTCAAGGTCAAAGGTCAAGGTCATATAATTTTTTTTTTTTTTTTTTAATTTTTGCTATCCTTTAAGACAATTTTGGTTTCTTATTCATGGAATTAAATTTTAAAACAAAATTAAAATTCAAAGAAGGTGGAAAGACCTCTTATTGTTCTTTGAACAATAAGTCTCCTAGTTATTATTATTATTATTTTTCTTCCCGGACTTTTGAAACCGCAAGACTTATCGAAAAACTTTGTAGTTCATGATATTGTATATTAAAAGTTATTCCGAAAAACGACCCCCCATGTTTGAACTTTGACCCCTTTCAAAGTTATTGCCCCTTTCGCAAGAAATGCTTGTTATCGCTACTCCTTTGAAACCGTAAACCGTAGAGGTATGAAACCTTCACCAATGTCTTGGATTAATTGAGAGGACTCTGCAATCTATTCATTGCAAAAGTATTCGGTGACTCCTTCAATGAGTTATTGCCCCTGAAAGTCTTAAAGCTGACAAGAAAAATTAAAAATTTTTAAAGGACAACTGGTAAAGATATGGGACCAAGTGCATGAGATCTTATGACCTTTGACCTTGAAAAGTAGGTCAAGGTCAAAGGTCAAGGTCATTGGAAAAATAGAGAAATGGTCAATTTAAGCTTAAAATCCAAAGACCTTGACCTTTGACCTTGAAATTTGACATTGACCTTGACCTCTGACCTTGACCCTTACTCAAAAGGTTAAAAAGAATTATTCATTACCTTTATCTGGATTCAGCTTCAAGTGTTAATCTCGAGTTTACCTCTCTCTCTCTCTCTTTTTTTTTGGATGACCTTGACCTTTGACCTTGATAAATGACCTTGACCTTTGACCCCATTGACTCATAGGTCAGAATCAAGCTAAATGTCGTGGAGTTATTTACAACCATCACTCTAACAAATGCTTATAAAATATCCCCCCCCCCTCATAAAAAAAAATAAAATCAACACCAACTTAGAGAAAATGTCTACAAGTCAAACGAAACGAAATATCGACATAAGATTCGTAATAAAAGGAAGAAGAGACCTGAAAGAAAGTGTCCTGAGAGTTTTAAGGTGAGTCTCTAAAGTACAATGAAATTCTAGTGAATATCGGCAAAATCTGCATTTTTTTTTTCTGTCTGAAATTAAGTTACTGCTGAGCATAAAAATTAATTAAAGCTTGCATTGGCTATTTCTGCAATTATTTTTAATATCATTCGATTCTCCTGCTCTATTACGACATTTTAATACCAAGTATTTTCTTTCTTAGGTGTATGGAATATATTTGAATTTTATTTAGATTTAAATATGAATCGGCTGAAACTCGGAAATAGCGATTTTTCATATAAAATAAATTTGCACGCTCTCCGTGACACCGTTTTCTTCATGAAATGCATG